CTGTAAAAGGAAACGTACATTATATGATATATTTTGTGTTTCATCACCACAAACAAACTCAACGGGTTCAGTAGCACCCTTGCGTCGAAAAATACCGCCAAAAAATTGGTGCTCGAATGTTGTGCCACCTTCTTTCCTTCCCTGATCTTCATTAATAATAACAAAATCGAAAGTAACATATATTTAGTTCATAAAAAGAAATCAATGTATATTATTCGCTTTGAAACGGTACCAATACATTTTGCTCCGAAATACAGACGATGCATCGTAACTTCTAATAATTTTTATTTTCACTTTTCTATACCCAATTGACAGTTGAATAACGATTAAATAATATTAGTAATTATTAAGTGAATGATATCAGGAAAAACACAGCGATTGCGTCAAAATATTGTACATAGGTATAAATTCACTGATTTATCTATGAACAACTCACTATGCAGAATCGTTAGAAATGTGTAGAATTTTGTTTTGAAGAATCTCGTACATTTTATCTGTGGATGTCTTTGTCTTTTTTCCAGATGTTATTCGAGAACCGATAAATATCCAACTGATGTATACCACGTTTTAATATTGTCAGTGAAAAATCATTTTAGTTTAATATTAAATTTATATGAGAATAGATTTATCTGGTAACTTTCAATTATTTAAATATCGAAAACTGACTTTTGAAATTAAGAAAACTATCTTTCTCATTCATTAAAAAATTCAAGCATCGGTTCGTCTGTTAGATGTCGGTATTAGACTCAAATAATAGAAACAAGATCTGGGAAGGTCAGTCGCTGTCTCGCTGAAATGATTACTTTTCTAGAGTAGGCGAACTCTTGTGCATTGTCGCTTCTGCAATGAATTCTTGAGTAACATTCTCTTAACATAATGTTTGAAGAGTATTTCTTTAAGATCAGTATTCTACAAATAGCAAAGCTAACCCTAGCGAGAGTTCTTGGGTCCAAGAAATAGCAAGATCTTGGGACAAGAATGTCCCAAGATCTTGCTTTCTTGGCTTCAAGAACTTTCGCTAGGATAAACTAAACAGATTCCAACTGTAAAGACTAAACTAAACTGCAAGCGAACGAGAAAGTAACTTTTATCTGACCTGAATAACACTCGAATAATTTACAGTGAAGTGCCCATAAACACTCCGCATACAAAGAAACATCACAGAGGATCAGCTTTACTTGATGATGCAACATAAAAATTACTGCTTATTGAGAATTGTTTTAATTATCGTTTGTGTGCGTATGAGTCATATCATAAATAGAATATGGATATAATGCAAAAATAGGCACTGTTTCCAAAATATCTACCGAACTACAGATCAGATTAATTTTCGTCTGCAGAAAGGAAACCTTTACATAATATAACAAATATAAAGTCCGAAGGAACCATATTGATCCGATAAACTGTTAATAGAAAAGTCCTACGGACAAAGTTATGTATTTCTTGACTGTGGAGCGTTTTTAAAAAAGCGAGACAGGGTAAAAAAGCAATTGAAATATGTTAAGAGTCAGAAAGTTTTACTTGATACCGAAAGATCACAGTTCATGAAAAATTGACTAGAACCATTAACCTTTGACATGGACAACTCTATTTAACAACATAACGCATGAATTATTAATTTATTGTAAAATTTTTCGAAACGTTTTTCTCTCCTTCCAGGGATATTGACGTTTTGTTGTACGTATAAACCGTCTGCTTTGTCTATATGTTCTCTATATCTTATACATAATAGATTTTTAGAGAAGGGAAAAGAATTGATACTATCATATTTTTGATTCAGAAAAAAAACAAAAAAACTCGTACACATCGATATACATCAGAAAGAATTTAATTTTAAAACGTTTCAATTGTCAAAATTTTTTTTCTCGTTATCACATACAGCAACTGAATCGAAATTCTATTTTGGAATAAGAAAATGTTCAGTTTCTCCTGTTGACTACTGTATATGAATTTATTAGACATTCAGAAGTAGACAGATTTATTTTGGATCTTTGTAAATGAGTTTTTTCTAAGGATATTTGTCTTTATTTAAGTGGTAGTTTATTCATTATGTTACTTATTTATCGTTTATTAACTGAGAACTCTGTTCTTTCATCTTTGAAACACTGTTATAAAACTTACTTTTTCATTAAATTTAAGATAATTTTTGATAAGTTCCCAATATAATTGATCTTCACTTACTTTCAACTGGTTAGTTAGTACTCGACTGAATAAGTGTTTTAGATTGTCTCTTTCTAAAATAAAAATGTCTATCCAACAACATGGAATTAAAACTAATTCTCGATTTAATGCCGTTCTTATTGGTGCACCAAACGTTGGTAAAAGTTCATTATTCACACAATACGTCGATGGAACATTTAGTACAAATGATTATATTTCAAATAGTAAAAAAATTATAAATGTGAATGGAAAATTCTTGGAACTAAGACTATGGGATATTAACGAACGACAACAAAACTATCAACAACATAAGCAAATGAATACAGCACAACGGGGTAATTTGATGTCGTGTATGAGATGGTGCTGTACCTTCAACCCTATCTGCAAAAGGTCCTTTTACTGATTTAAGGGTACCCCCTCTTTTCTTTACTCTGTTGGAACAAAAATCCGATTGAATAAAATAATGAATTGATTGAGTCCAAATTTTTACCGCAGATACTTCACACCCTATCTCAGATTCTAATTTTTTTCAAAAACTATGGTTTTTTTGTTGAAATATTCGAAAAACTCCGCTTCTGATTTTAGAAATCTTCTCATGTCGAAATTTGAAGTTGAAAACGCTTAAAAAAATTTAGAAGCTAAGATAGAGTGTGAAGTATCTGTCAGAAGAATTTAAGCTCGATCGGATCACTTTCTGAAGCAGTCATTATGTGATTGGATTGCATCCACTCCTGGTTAAGTATCATTTTAGTATTACAAATAACACTAAGTAGGGGACTTTTTTGAGATATTTCCGACAATGCTAACATCTCCATGAAGAAGATCTATTGGAAAACTTCAGAAAGGTATTTAACTACATCCGCGTAAATAAATCCTATGAATCTGCCTGTGTTATGTTATAACCGAATAACAGTTTATTATGTACAACAGGTATAGAGAGAAGATCCATTATATATGCATACAGGACTCTGTGCACACACACTATACAGAACAATGTTTACCTAACGATGAGTCACATACCATAACAATCCTCGTATACTAAGAATAGTTTTAATTATCGTTTGTGTGTAGATGACTAAGATCATAAATAGACTAGTAAGTATATTGGAGAAGGGCACTGTTTCCGATATATCTCCCGAAACATAGCTCAGATAAAGTTTCGTACACATAGAGGACACATCTACACAATATAGCAAACATAAAGTCCGAAGGAACCACATTGATCGGATCAACTATTGACAGAAAAGTGGATGTGACAAGGTTGAACTGTCACCAGTGGATTTTTAAAAAATCCGTTTTACTAAAACTTTAACCTGGTCTCTAACTATGGCTTCCAAAAATATCTTGGAAAAGCTGAGAGTGATCTCATCTTGTAGCCCAGAATCTCCTATACATTAGATGATGTTCAATTTAAAACCAAAATTTTTTTCAAAAAGGAGGGCGCTACCATTAATGATTGTCTAGAAGAAGGGCTAAAAATCGGTATTCGTCAGTGTCAGCTTGCATTCCTATCACCTCTTTGAACGGTTGATGAAAAGTTAGAATATTAGAAATACGTTCAAACTTGTTCAAATAAAAACTTTTCATATTGCGTAATATCAAAGGTGTTTATTCGATACATCCATGGATGTATCTGTTCATGTCCATAAGAAATCTATTAAATGGGTATTAGCATAAATGGATGATAGGTTACCTATTTGATGATACATTTTATAACTTTTGTATGTGGATTACATATTTGAACCGAGGTAGATCGCTCGCTTAAATAAGTGGAGTTTTCATCTACTTTTGTGAGACACGGGTTTATAACAATCTAGGAATGTAAAAGAGGTGCGCTTTCATATTAAGTACACTCATTGCGGTTGTAAGTGTTCAGTTTTTCGTTTTATTAATAGTGACGAGAACAACGAGTTCTATTGATCCTGGTGAACAGCACAATGATTTTTATTCAACAGATTTTGATGGTATTGCTTTGGTGTATGATATAACAAACGTGATATCATTTGAAACTATTCGTGATTGGTTACACAGATTTGGCAGTCGTCATAAAAATGCGGTAAAAATAGTGGTAGCAAACAAATTAGATTTATTAGATGAAAAAATGATCGATTTAATTTTTGCACGAGAATATGCAAACGAATTGAACATATCATTTATCGGTACTTGATACTTTTGCGAACTAATCATTGTCTAGTTTAGTTTGAGTCTCAGGTTACTTCTAACCATCTAAATATCGAGCGCGTTAGCGCTACATGGTTTAATCGTCTTTCTCCCTTCTATATTTTAGGTGTAAGTGCTAAAAATGGTCTGAATGTTGAACGAATGTTTTCGTTACTTGGCGAACAAATGATACAAGAACGACAACGCCAAAAAGAAGAGATATTAACACGAAAATTGAAAGAAAAAATGACAAAACTCGTGCAAAAACAACGACAAGTTCAAGACTCAAATGAAGTTGACAATTTGGACAGGAAATATCAACAGGCGAATAAACAAGAATATTTTCAAGGAAAATATCAACGACCAATAAATTCATCATTAACAACAGTTGATATAAATAATCGTCGTTTTCCACCAAATGATACCTGTCCAGTATGCGCTAGAGAAATGTAAAAACTGCTCTTATTTATTGTATTTTAGGTGTGTGCATGTTTTTTATGCTTTAAAAGTTCGATTATTAGTTTGAATTTTAGACGTGTGGTGTTGCACATTTTTTTTGTGCACCTTAAAAAACTATTGATTGTTTGTTAAACAACAAATAAAAACAAATGAAATTATGTTTTTTAGTATAACAATAGTATAATTGTGTTTTTAGTATAACACAATGCTAAAGAACAAATATTTTAATGTTGTTATACTGTGCAGATACTTTTATGAATATATTTGAAGTAATCGATGATTGATGGTTTTCTCTATTATTTAACAAGGATATATGTGGCTAGGTGACTCGAATCGTTGACGAATAGAGTCAGGCATGTTGTGATCGGAGCTGAGACTGACAAATAGGTAACTTCTCCTTGTTAAACTGTTCACTTCAGAATGGGGAGTAAAATATTTCGAGATTATAAAACTTCTATTTTACTTTCATTTCGGAGTTCCATTTTGCAACATTGTAGGGTAAATAATAGAACATTTTCCCAAAATTTATTCCGGATTTTTAGTAAAAACGTCTTTCCTTCTATGCTTGGTACCTCGCGATTAATACAATTGATATTATCAAATGTTTTCTCTCACAAAAAACTCAAAAAGTTCGCATCTCGAAGAAGTTCGAAATTAAGTTCAACTTTATTTTCCTATACTTTAAATAAACTTGCCAACTGAACTCTGTCGATTCTAACCTTTAAGTTCTTGAGTATAAAGTTCATCAGAAACATACAGAGAATAGTATCTTCAGTGAGAAGATAATACATTAGTCTACGCAGAGGCATCAGACAGCTAATTTAAGATTAGTGCATGCATATCTGAAAAAACATCTATTAACTGACTTAAGTTTTCACTTGCCATTTATTGTTTCTTGTAGTTTAGCAATTTTTTCAATGTCAATAGTTGTTATTTCCCGAACATCACACTGTAAAAAATAAAGTGTGCCCGGGGCACACTGAATGTGCACATCACGTCGGACTGTTTTTGCACACGGAAAACGGCTTGTTCAGTGCGCCTGTAACACACTGGAATTGCACATATAACTTTCACAGATAGAACGAGAAAAAAGACCGAAGAAAAGAATAGTTCTTCCGTTTTTTGCCGTAGAAAAACGCACGATAAATGTTCAGATTATACAGTGACAGTTTGTTTGCACATCACTTTGGACTCGAAATGCACACTTGGGGGAATACACACTAGCGAGCACACTTTATTTTTTACGGTACATAATCTCTATTATGCAGATTATTATTGATCGGACTAAATTTTCAAATATTATGCAATGTTTGCTCTTTGGAAGAAGATCACTGCTTAAGGGCCAATGGCCAATGGGCTTGATGGCACTTACAGGAATTAATGCTTACTATACACGTAACTTATGCTAAAAATTTGAGTTCGGAACGTTGAAGCGCTGCCGTGTTATTGTGTGACAACAGGCAAGATGGGGCTCTTAGCAAAAATGTATAGCCTTTGTTGGTAGAAAGAGCAGAAAGCTACGGGCGGTCTTCAATAAAAATAGACACCTAAATCTAAAATTTATCTGTAGCGTTTTTTGAATTTCGCTTCCCTTCATTCTCTATGTGTGTTTTAAAGGAGAACTCTGAAAATAACCCTAATTCGTGGGAGTATTTGCCACATATCCCTGCAAAGAAAACGAAATTCAAAAATCGCTATGGACAAAATTTAGATAAATGTTTTAGCTTCAAAATAACAAAGAATAAAGGTTTTACGACTAATCGTCTGGGAGTTGATACAACTTCGCTGCGCTAAAACCATATTCTAAGCAATGATGTCATTACTTCATTAATTATAGTTCAGCACCTTTAGCAAAACTACTATAACTCTGCAAGACGAAGTCGTACAAACATGCTGGATATCTCATTCTGTTCAGAACACTCTGCTCAGCATAGCTTCATGTTTGTTAAAACGGACAACCTAAAAAATTTTAACTAAAATGTGAAATTTGGAAAAAGGTGATTTTTAGGGCTATCAGAAACCTCCAAAAACTTTAAAATTTTTGACAAACTGAGACAGATTCTGACAGATGACACTTTGGGATACTGAACCGTGTGATTACTTCAGTGCTTAAGTGAGAATAATAAAATGATAAAAGTGTAACCTTTACTAATATCTTAGTTTCTTAATGACGAATATATTTTTGATTTTCTGTGAATTTTTTATTAGTAGATTAGTATTCTTGTTGACTTCGAATAGACGGAGGTTCACAGAAGAAGATTTAAGGGTCATCGTCGTGATAGTGTGACGGATATCAATCGGTCCAAATAGTTCGGTAGTAGCTAAAATATTTTCGACCAAACGAGGAAAATAATTATTCATCCTTATTTTCATAATCCTTATTTGGAAAGCATATCCAAAGAGATGCGGAGTTTAAGAAAGGTGTGGATGGGAAGCAACGGAAACTATTGTCTCGCAAGTGTAATACTTCTAACAGATTCCGGTGTTTGCAAAAGAGAAATTACTGGACTCTCGAACGGTTACAGAAATATTCACCGAGGGGGCTACTCGGCAGCTATATTTTTACAACGTAGTGTGATCCCTTCGGCGAATATTTTTCTGTTGTTGTTGTTGCTCCAGGTATTGTTTCACGTTTTTGATTTCGTCTATTCGCCTCTAGTAGATCAACTAAATGTTCAAAAACTTGAATTAAATCGGTTTGTAATCGACTTGTTTGTTCATATTCAATGAGATACTGTTCATTTTGACTAAATAACAAATATTGTTGTTCATACGAATATTTACATTCGGCTAGTAAACATTGTAAAAGTTCATTGTCACATTTGAATTGATCCGTCTTTGAGCTCAATGTCAAATATTCTAATTCAATTTTATTTCGTAAAGCATCACAGCATGCACATGATGAACATGAAAGACACAATTGCTCTCGAATAGAGACAAAATGTTCTTGAATCAATGAGGAATGATGAATAGTAGATACAGAACTTTCAGCGAGACGACGACGAAATGGTTCCGATGTGATGTATATATATATTTCAAATATGTATATATGTATGTTGTAGAGTAAATCAAGCTGAAACGTCCCATCATTACAGCAAGTTGGTCTGTTCCACTTAAAACCAGTTTACTTTTAAAGAGCACATTGAGTTACGTAAGAAAATGTCTTTTCTGATTCCATAGCTGATGCAGAAACCAAAAAATATGAGGAAACAGCAGTTTATTATTAATAAATCTGAAAAAAAAGTATATACAAGTTGACTGATGAACGAAGTCTTTTGACAGAGAGCAATACAACGAAAAATAATAAGTTTACAAATATAATAAAGTGTGTAGGTTTTCTATCAGGATATTGTTCTCGTAATTTCTGCTCGAAGCAGAGCTCCTTCAGTTAAGTGTTCACGCTATTCTTTTCGCCTTGGTATTCTACTTTGATGATGTATATATGTTCTACATGTGTAGGATGGAACTCCCAATACATCTCTTAATCCTTTGTTCTGAAGTATTTGAAGGTCGTTCCATATTTTGTCTTCTGCTTCAGGAAGGCTGATACGCCAAACACGGGTATAATTAGAGATTTGAATAAGTTCACCATGATTCGATCACTCGATTCTGGAGTTGATTGTAAAAGAAATCTCAACAGATCAATTCTGGAACTGACCTTTTCTTTGATATGTTTCACACGTTCTTCTACGAAAGTGTTTTGTTGTAAAGCATCCCTAAATAGCCTGCATGTGCCAGTGGAGGAACAATTGCTGCCCCCACAGTCACTTTTACTAGATATTTGTATTGTTTACTCGAGTGTACACTAAAATGAAGCATTTCAGTTTTAGTTGAATGTAAAGTTAACTTCCATGTTTCATACCAACGAGTGAAGACATTCAGGAATTCCTGAAGACGCCTGTTTAAACCAGAAGTAGTGTTGCAGGATGCTCATAAAGCCGTATCGACGGCAAAAAGTCCATGATCCGTGTGGAATGGCAATCTATCAATCGAATCAGCTGTAAAATTAATGTATAGCAGAGGGGAGAGTGGTGATCCTTGAACAGTACCACTTTTCAGACTGAATGTTCGGGATTGCAGATTTTGCAGTTCAATTGATGCCGTTCTTTCGTTGAGAAAAGATGATATAATCCGCCGGCTTCGGGTCGAATATTTTATAAATCAGTCCCTCATGCCATATGCTGTTAAATGCTTGTTTGATATCAAAGAATATCATCGCAGAATGATTACTTTTGTCCCAATTATTGTTGACAAAAGTTTGTGATCTTAAAATCTTGTACAAGGTGCTTTTTTCCAGCCTCGAAATCCAGCCTGATGTTTAGGTAGTATTTTTTTAGCGACATTTGGTATCGTACTTTTTCCTTTCTCAAAGCCAATCCCAACCATTTTGTTTCGTATGTTTTTTGAAGTACAAGCTTTGCTCTTTCAACCAGAAAATGAATGACCTTTCTACGACGCTCCTGAGTGGACAGTCATGGCTGGTGATTTCGGCAAATACTTTTGCATTGGGGGTTATCTTAGCCAGCGCCTCGGAAAAATCAATTTTTATTGAACTAAGTTAATTTAATGTTGTAAAAAGGTATATATCTGGAGTCTAGTCTTTCTCAGCTATCTATTAGTAAAAAAACGTTTTTAGTAGAAACTAAATCTATAAGCGAAACAAATTGTTTTCCCAACTGAAACTGTGTTTCCGCGGGCTTTGTTCAGTATGATGAGAACGCGAAGGTTAGCAAAGATCGGCTGTATAGCATTTCGATAAAGTCAAAACTAATGTGATATTTGAAATCAGCACATAAAACTGCATCTAATAATGTGTAATTCAATTATTTTCTTAAGAAAAATGTTTTGGATCTTAGAGCAAGGGCCGTCCTCAAGAGTTTTTTTATCGAAAAAGCCTTTTTTAGAGTTTGCTTTTTTCTTGCTTTTTATCAACATTTGACATATAACAGAACAATATCAAACACAAATAACTGCTTTCCAAATCTAGAAACTAAATGTCCGCCTGCTCTATTGAAAAATGCCCACTATGTTACATCGGTCAGCTATATGGAAGACTTTTGATCGTAAGTATCGTGTCACGGAGCAGTAGCAGTTGCCTGATAGTACTGAAGAAATTGATTGACCACAAGTTTCATCAATTTGAGTGAGAGAAAGCATAAGGATTTGTGGGGTAAAACTTCTTCGTCTTAGAATTATGATTAAGTTAATGAATATTCTAGAATATTTTGTGTCTGAGCTTCATAGTTCCAAAAATTACTGGTATGTCGAACACGGGTCACCGTCAATACTCGATCGTTGATAGACAATATTGTGTTTCTTCTGAGAACAACTAGACTGGCAGGCAAACCTGTAAGGCTGTGACAATGCCGCTAACAAGTCTGAGCTGCGTAATGATCACATATACCAGATGATTTAGCTAACTCCAACTGAACTCCAACCCTGCAAAAAAAGAGCTGAACTCCGGAGTTGAGTTGCCCACCTCTGGTCCAAGCCCATCTATTAATGTATTCCCCGCTGTTGCATGACGTATCAGTTGTAATGATCTTGAAAATGAGTTTATCTTTGCCAATATGAATGAATTATTTTGTGATCTCGTCTAAGATTCAAATAATTGTTGATGGACAATATTAGCCGAGACGTACGTTGAGGAATAGAAAATAGTTAACGCATCCGAAATAGTTTTGAATATGCAGTGCTGGTAACATGTCAAATGAAAAACCACCATTGAGTCTGAGCTCTTTAGAGTTTGAACAATTGACGATTTAATCAAAAGTGACCATTTGTGGGAGACAAAATCACTGGGGCATAATTCCAGAAGCTTTCGATTACGATCTATAATCATCATCAGCTATAGCATACAATAAGCGAAAACTAATAATGAGAAAACGACTGAATGTATATACATTATAGTCATGTTCTTTATTGTAAGCCACAGCTGATGATAATTACAGATCCTACTCGAAAGCTTCGGGCATGCAATTGTCAACCTATCTGGGTTTTGTGTTATACGTTGAAGCCGTCATTCGCACGTCATTAGACTACTGTAGTTGAAAGCAGACATGTGCGCCGATAAAAAATTTTCGGCGACGGCGATTGAAACTTTTACCATGGGCGGCGGCGCGAGATTATGAAAACTTCCTTCGCTTTCGGCGGCGGCGTGTAAATATTAGTTATCGGCGACGAATCTCATAATTTAAGTAAAACAACGTTCTCTTTCATTTCTGGCACGTTCTTCCCGTACTGTACATTGCCGTATACGAAAAGATAGAAACGCGCTGCACGCTAGATGCCTAAAGTAAGAATGTACTAACAAAAATAGTCAAAATTTTCGGAAAAAAGTTTTCTCCGTCCTCGGCGGCGACAAAAATTTAACGACATGGCGACGGCGGCGAATAGGCGAACCGGCGCGCATCTCTGGTTGAAAGTCCACCTTTACAGTATACAAATTTGAAAAAGCGAGTCGACAGTCTTAAAAAACTGTTCTTCAGTTTTTCGAATAACTGAAAAGTCAACGGGAATTTTGTTCTTCAGTTGTCCCAAATGGAGAACTCAAATTCTGTTGAATAGTAGTATAATAAACACCGAATGCATAACTATGTATTACGAGACGTTTCGTACAATATCTTAGTACATCCTCAATTAGACTGAGGATGTACTAAGATATTGTACGAAACGTCTCGTAATACATAGTTATGCATTCGGTGTTTATTATACTACTATTCAACAGAATTCGAGTTCTTCATTTGGGACAACTGAAGAACAAAATTCTCGCTGACTTTTCAGTTATTTGAAAAACTGGAGAACATAGTTTTTTAAGACTGCCGACTCGCTTTTTCACATTTTGTGTCAATTTTTGTAAATCAGCGGCGAAAAAGTCGGAATTTTGAAGCAGTAATGTTCTCCTTGACAACTCAAACAATGACTTTCACTTCTGTTGAATAACCAACCACAGCAGAAAAGAAAAACAGAAAGGATTGATGTCAACATGACACTTAAAAGATGTTGGCAAAAACATCGCGTCTGTTCAGTCCTCTGATCACAACTGACAACAAAATGAATACAAACGTCGATTTCATATCGTAAAGAGGAATGCAACATGACTTGAATGCAACAACATGACACACAATGGTAATATAAAAATAATTGCAATATGTTGAGAATAGTGGAGAGAGAGAGATGACATCCACAGCAAAATGCTAATGACTAACTATCCATCCATATTGCACAGAAAAGATAAAATGGTGCCTAATACTCGAAAGAATAATCACTGAATGTACTAGTCATATTCAAGAGTAAGTATGCACCTTGCCAGTCTCTCTCCTCTATCCTTCACAGGCGCTCTTCCTATAAGAGAGCTAGAGACCAAGAATGCAAACTATTGACAATGCGCATTTGTTTAGATGTGACACAGTTTCAATCCCTACCGAACGAAGTTATTCTTGAAATCTTTGAGTATTTGCACGCGTATGATATTCTTCACTCATTCCTTCGGCTAAACGATCGTTTCGATGGAGTAGTCGGCGATCTACAGTTTGATCTGAACTTTTGTCACATCAGCAAATCCAAATGTGACTTTATGTGCGAACAGTTTCCATCAACGGCACAAGTCCGTTCTCTCCATCTGTCTAACAAGACTTCCTATTACTTTGACTTCTTCTTCGCCCACTCTTCCAAGAACATATTGGTGAAACTTCGCTCCTTATCGTTGCTCAATGTCAAAGCGGAACAAGTGATCAAAGTGCTGATGCCACAGATATCTTCTATGACACAACTATCGTCATTAACGCTGTGTATAAAATTAAGCGATTTCAATGACAAGACGGCTCTTAACGCTTTTGAACTAGTCATAGCTGTCGTTGCAAACGAGTTGAAAGTAAACAAGACTCTCACTAGAATTGATCTTAGCAATAACAACATATCGGACACAGGAGGTGAAGCACTAGCAGAAGCACTGAAAGTAAACAACACTCTCGCTAAACTTAATCTTGGATGGAACCGAATATCGGATAGAGGAGGTGAAGCACTAGCAGAAGCACTGAAAGTAAACAAAACTCTTACTCAGCTTGATCTCTATGGGAACCAAATATCCGAGCGAGGAGGTGGAGCACTAGCAGCAGCACTGGAAGTAAACAACACTCTCACTAAACTTAATCTTGTATGGAACCAAATATCGGATAGAGGAGGTGGAGCACTAGCAAAAGCACTAAAAGTAAACAACGCTCTCACTAGACTTGATCTTAGCAATAACGACATATCGGACAGAGGAGGTGAAGCACTAGCAGAAGCCCTGAAAGTAAACAACACTCTCACTAAACTTCATCTTGGATGGAACCGAATATCCGAGAGAGGAGTTGAAGCAGTAGCAGAAGCACTGAAAGTAAACAAAACTCTTACTCAACTTGATCTCTATGGGAACCAAATATCCGAGCGAGGAGGTGGAGCACTAGCAGAAGCACTGAAAGTAAACAACACTCTCACTAAACTTCATCCTGCCGAGAACCAAATATCGGATAGAGGAGAAAATAAGCAACATTCTCACTCCACTTGATCTTGGAACTTAACATCCCTGAGAGGAAGCAAAGAACTGAGAGTAACATTGAATTTTTTAACATGAGTTGGGGAGCTTAGGGCATAATGCAGTTATGGGAAGCAGCAATCAAATATGGGAAAGACGAAGCGAATCACCAGCGGAAACATTGAAGGTAAACCACACTCTCATTCTACTTCATCTTAGAGGGAACCCAATATCTGTTAGAGGAAGTGAAGGACAAATTGCTCGGTGGCTAAACTGCTTGACTCTTATCGAATTCTGCCACTGCTCTTAGGCGTTGTTTTTTAAATGCTAAAAATATTTTTAGATTTTTCCAAAAGATCCATTTGTTCTATACGAACACGTCGTCCTCTAGAAAAATGCAGGATTGTTGCTTTCTATGAAGTGTTAATTTAGAGAGATGGAAAAGTGACAGACTCAGAGATTTGGATTTTATAACCTTCAAACGCGTAATGGAGTTGTTACTCTAATATAGTGTAAATGAGGAATATCAATAAATGAGTAAATGACTGTCAAAAGTGCTACACTAATCATGAAGAGTATGACACTTTTAGCTTAAAGTCGCGTTTTCACCCGAAGGAAAAAACTTTTCAATATTATTTTTTTATCAAAATGTAGCTCGCGCTTTCCTCTATCGATTGATCTAGTTTTCATATTTTGTCGGTGCTTCTACAGCGGTTTGTGTTTGATATACTTAACCGAGAATATTTGTATGACTGAATAGTATTACCGTGCACTGACATACGATGCATTCTTTCTTTATTTCTCTCATGCTGATTTTCTCTTTCATGTCTTGTAATTAATCTATCGACACTGACACAGGCTACACAAAGTTTTCATTAAATATGTTTATGCTTACATGCGTTTATTATATTAAGGCACAGTATCTACTATCAGGATCCAGTATTATTTGGTCCTCATCGAAGAGGTATGCAGGTTTTTAAAAAAGTTTTCTGAAAACCTTGACAAACTTGCTTTTTGAAAACGTTTTACTTTCCGATCAAAAAGCAAATCGAAAATTAGTTTCCATAACACCAGAAAGTAGAGTAAACATTTCTGATCAAAATGAGATATCTCCCGGCTCTGAATGGAATTCTGATCAAGATGTATGACAGTTTTTCTGGTAGCCCTAAAATTTGCATAATATACTAGCGCCATGGTGCTGTATCTCGAAAGTGACTTTCATCTTAACACTATTTCATAGGTCCCAGATTTCTCAGTCAAGAAAAAAAAACATCGCAGAGAACTCGGGAAGATCTTAAATTGGAGCTGATGCATGTGGCTAGACGCTAATATAGCACGATTTTTGATTACAACAACATGTTTACCAAAGTTAATGAGACTTTTTCGAATTTTGGATCCTGCTGCTGTTAATGCATTTTCAATCTCTGATGTTATTATTTCAACGTGACACGACATTACCGCGAACGACATTACCGCGAATACAAAAAACGACATTACCGCGAACGACATTACAGTGAACGACGTTACCGCGAAGACTCGTTTATTGGAAAAGAAGAATAAATGAGCCTGGTTTTGTACTTTGTATATCATGTGGAGGGAGGTGGGAGGTGGGGAGAGGGCATTGTGAGAGTGAGTTCGAAAAGTATTTTCACATAAAACATATTATCGTAATGGGAAACTAGATATCTGTGGCTGTATCAGATAATGACTAGTCACCACATAACGTCAGTTAAGTTTGAAAACATGATGTACAAAATACAAAACCGGCCTCATTTATTCGACTTTTCAACAAACAAGTCTTCGCGGTAATGTCGTTCGCGGTAATGTCGCTGTATCTTATTTCAACATCAACCCGTTTCAAGAAAGCCTGTTTATCAGTGCCCAGGACCTTCTGAATCGATCTTGGAATATACATATTGACATCACTTGCACTATCATAGTTCTGTTTGGCTACATCTGGTAGCGTTCTATTCTAACTGTTTACGTCGCTAGCCAAGATGGTAAATGTATTATTTTTATTACTCTGAATGTTTGTTAATTTCACATTCGGTATATTTTTTGCTATAACTTTGCTGAGCTGAAAACGAGTAATTTCAACACCTGGTAAAACCAGTGGAGCCAGCTGTGCTGGTGGTTTTGTCTGTTGCTGTAGATTAGTTGCGGTCCGTGATTTCCTTCCTCTTTCATCATCTCGTTGCGTTGAGTTTTTACGCTTACGTTGAATTATTTCTCCATCTGAAGGATTATCTGCCATTTCTCTTGATGTTGTGTCCAAAATTTTTACTAATTTTGTGATAGATTATGTAGAAATTTTTGGTTTTTTATCAGGTTCACTGAATTTCAGTTGAGCACACTGAAGTTTGAGGCGCATGCGTATCGCTATAGCAGATACAGTGAAACATCAGCGCACAGAACATAGGAAAAGTATACGGAAAAATAATGAGCTTCAGTCACAGTAAGTGCAGTGCAGTCCTATCATTGTAGTTACCCAAAGAAAAACTTTTATGTTACTGGTGGAACGACCTACAGGGCCAGAGGTGGTGAAATGATTTTGAGACTATGGGTGCTCAAGGACAAGAATGCAAAGAAAAAATAAGTCTCTGCTTGAAGAAAACTAAAATTTTCGAAATCTCCTAGTGGCAAAGCACTCATGGTTCCGCCGCTTCTGTGCAGGGCTGTTGTGAACACATTGTTTTCTAGATATTGTATACATTTCGTTATCTCAACCTGTATCAACACGTGGTCAATTGTTTCATATATTTTTGAGCGATAGGTTCTTAATCCGAACTAAAGAACCGCGCGACCCATGGCAAGAAACATTCATATCCACTCACATCAATGTCATCATACATGGAATAACCCTATTTCGCCAGTTGCATCTATCCAGTCTGGCGATATAGTTTCCTTCTATTGCACAGACGCAAGCAATTCTCAAATTGATGAGTCAACGCCATCAAGAACTTTAATTATTTACTTCTTGATCTGGGCAATGATCCGATTTATATTGAAGATATCCAGCATGGCGATACCTTCATAAATGTGTTCTTTTAAACAAATCTTTGTTCTGCCAATTTAGTTCGCATCAAAATGTGGGAAAGCGCCTTTTTCTGTACGTACGGGTGCGCTTTTTCTCATGGGTATAGCAGGAGCCAGTTTAAACCGAATCCTTGAAACGGTCAAATTTGGCTATTTCTTCTAATCATGTAAGAAACAAACGTTCATACAGCTTTCGACCATGGAGACCATGGAACTGAATATAGCAATGATTTCTGATCAAATTAAAGCAAACTCCACCTCAAAAATTTAACTTTTGATCAAGTTTCACCGAAAGCGCCAAACGTGCAGAACGAAAAAGATTCAGCACAGCAGAATTTCTGTGTAGAAAAGTGGCTGATAACAAAGAAAGGTGTTTAATCAGCGTTTTAATGTAAAAGGATTGAAGTATAGGTAAAAGATAGGGTTTTCTACAGGCTACAAAACAACTACTATCCATTTCAAAAAAGAAGAAGCACGGCCATTTCTTTGATAACTTTTTCTAAGAAGCAGCTAAAAAGGTGCGGTTTTCAGTATCGGAAAGCGAAATGTTGGGGTAATATGAAAAACTAAA